AAGTTCTCTGAAACTTTAAAACTCTGAAAAGTGGACAGGGATACTGTAGGCTACTGCTCACTTAGCCACAAATTAAAAGTCTACATTTCCTCTGAAGAAACATCATTATCTTTGAAGGCTCCTCTTAAGAAGCAATGGTATTAACTGAATCCTTGAAGAACGTTCATAAGGATATTTCACCTAATATGCCTTACTCTTGTGTTTGTCTAAAGTGTGACAAGCAACTGCCTGGTCAATGTACCCGTTTCCTTCATTAAGCCTCTTTCACATGTTATGAGGTCCCTGTGGGTGGGTCTAATCTATGCTCCCACATTTCAATCTAGGAATGTACGAGTAGATCAGGAAAGGTGGAGGAGAGTCAGTTTGCTCTGAGAATTAACATGTGTTGAGAGTAAACTGCCACATTTCCAACATAAGACCCTTAGGTTTGGGAAAACAAGAGTGGGTCATCAAGTCTCATGGTCAAACACTCTAGCAGTCATCCTCTGTATTGTTCAGCCTTCTCCAGAGAAACAGAACCAGTAGGAGAGAGAGAGGTGCCTTTAAGCAATTGGCCCATGTGGTTGTGGAGTTTGGCAAATCCAAAATGTTCAGCCCAGGCCAGCAGGCTGGAAGTTCCAGCAGGCTTTTTGTTGCCATCTTGAGTTTGGAGACAATGGAAGACGAGTCCCTTCCTTTTCTGGCCCTCTCAGCCACTTTTCTTTTTCTTTCTTTCTTTCTTTTTTAATTATGTTAAGTTAGCCACCATACAGTGCATCATTAGTTTTTGATATAGTCTCAGCCTTTTTTCTGAAGACCCTTAAGTGATTAGGTGAAGTCCATCCACATTACAGAGGGTAAACTGCTCTACACAAACTATTGATTTACATGTGAATCACATCTAAAAAACACCCTTACAATAGCATCTTGACTGGTGTTTGACTAAACGACCGGGGACAATGGCTAGCCAAGTTGACTCATGAAAGTAACCATCACCATCCACCCCTTGTCAACTTGGCACCCAGACTCATCTCCTTAAACTATACTTGATCTCATAAAGACAACAGCAAAGTCATACTTCTACCTAACCTGATACATATCCTGCATATAACCAAAAATGTACTATCCCTTTCCCCGGAAGAGAATGCAAAGTCCTTGGATGATGTTCTTTTTTACTCTGTAACTTAAAAACTATGAGGTAAAGTTAACACATTTTATGTCATATTGTAATGGGATAAGAGAGGGAAGAAAATACACACATAAATACACGCAAACATATTCATTAAAAAAATGAACACACACAACAATTACAGTCCTCTGCAAATGGTATGTGGTCAAAATTGGTATTTATAAATCCCTTCTTCCAATACCCATTCCATATTCCCTTTTTCCTCAGAAAGTATCACAGCTTGTTATGGTTCTTTACTTAGTGAGGTTGACCCAAACTTTCCTTCCTGAAAGGTCTGGGACTTTAGCAGTTCCGCTTGAATTGGATTACCATGTTGGTCCATCAGTTTTAACCACAACGGCATGGTAGTGCTAAGAAATACCCCAAGGGATCTCTTGTATTAAAGGCATACTCTTCATTACCTCCACTGTGGAGCAGCAGTCCAAATCCCCCTTAGTAATCAGGATCAATTATTCCAGTCACACATATTTACCTGTTGATTCAGGGCCATGAGGAGCCCAAAGTGGCCAGGTGACAGTCTTAATTTGTAAATCAACCACTCACAGAATGAGATTCTGGGTTTGGTTTTCAGCAACCTCAGCTCTGCACCTATGGGATATACTGGAAGTTTTCAGGTCATTTATGCAACAGTTGAGCTGAGTAACATCCAGACTGGTATTTGACCAAATATTTAGAGTGTGGCCTAGCCAAATTAACAAATAAAATTGACTGCTATGGCCCAGGAAATGACAAAAAAAGGATCTGATATAACTTCAAATCTCAGTGGTATTACTTATGTTTCTATATTAGAAAACTGTGAAGAAATCCTTTTAACAGCAATTTATTCACTAGAAACTTATCATATAAAGTATTACTTCAAAATATGCAGTTATCTAGGTCTTCGAAATATATTGAATTTCAAAAAAATTCTCTCTTATTAGTTTTAACCTTTAGAAAAAGATTAAAACCTTGGTCTAAGGAGTTATTGAAAGCAGTGTGACATTTTTTAAAAATAGATACTTATTCTCTACTCACATTCCTTGAGATCCTGAAAAACCACTGGGTTTTCACACTCAATAGTCAGTGGACATTATTAGATGAAATCAAAAGAACCAAGTTAGTCCTATTTTTGTCCCTGCCTTGTTGGACGCTATACAAATCAGGCCACTTCTCTGCATCTCATTTTCTTTTTTTTTTTTTTTTCAGCTTTTATTATAAGATGACATAAAAAGTTTACTCAACAGAAGTAATTATATTACTATTTGGGGGAGGGAATCACCAACTTTTTGTGCAAACAATGCTAGCCTTCTTTTAAGCATTAAGAGCATAACTGCTTAAGAAATGACATAAGCAATAATTCTACACCTACATCTCCCCTAAAATAATCTATTTTTTTTTACATATGTGCACAGCTTTAGCAAATTAAAGCCCGAGAGAAATGCTCGAGATTCACTATCCAGAGGCATGACCAGAGTTTACTGTAACTCATTTAGAGAGCTTACCAATCAAGGAGTCTGTAATGAAAGCTGCAGTTTCCCTCTTTCCTATTTTTCTTAACACAAAAATCAATGACTAAGAACTTAATACTGGATGACAAATCACATCCACACTATTAGTTAAATAGCCTCACAGTTAAACACATCTTAAAAGACCAATCAAATCAGTATTTACATTTTATAAATTTCTGAAGACACCATTAGAAAGCTTATATATCCCTTCATTAAACAAAATAGGGAACTGCATCTGATGGTGGTGGAATGAAATTAAAAAATTAAAAATACCTGTATTTACAGCAGCATTGATCCTTTATAAATAAAGAATATGAAAATGCAATTATCTTTAAGGATAATAAAAAATTGAGGTGATGTTACTCAACCACAGTGCTTGGAGTTGGAATAAAAATCTATTGGTGCTTGTTAATGTGCCAGTAGTGAAACCACTTTCTGTTGGAGAAAATCCAACTGCAAATATGTGCATAAAAACACATACATCACAGGGCAAAATTGCTCACAACAATTCAAGTCAACTTATCTGTATTGGATATTCTAATCATGAAATACATTACAAAGACATCCTTGCAAAGAAAAAAAGTTATAACATTTTCTGGTTCGTTTTTATAGAATATTTACTTCCTCGAAAGTGGCATCTTAAAAATCCCAAACTCATTCTTCCCTTGGTTTATAATGAAAAGATGTGGACAGCTGAATTTTCAATGTGATTACCATACTGAAAACAACAACAACAACAACAACCCACAAATCCAAAACAGCAAATGTTCAAGTTTAAAAAAATATACTGGGTGAGCAACTGCATCTCATTTTCTTAATGAAGGTCTCTGGATGATAGAATTTCCAATATCCTCATGCCTGGATATGCTTAAATTTCAGTATTTTTTATATTAAGCATGCTAGGTTTTTTTTTTTTTTCCAGCTTTGGGTTCTTTACTACTTTCACAGCATTTCCCTCTGTTTGAATTGCTTTTCCCCCCAAATTTCATGGCTAGCTTCTTCTCATCACTTATGTTTTAGGTCAAATGTCACCTCCTCAAAGAAGAGGCTTTTGATGACTTTCCTCCTCTAATCACTAACTATCCCTTTAACTTACTATATTTTCTTCATGGGACTCATCACTATCTGATAATACCTAACTGACTTATTTACTGTGTTTATTGTCTGTTTCATAGCAACAATGTAAGCACTATGAAAGCAATCTTGTTTGTCTTATCTGTCTTTGTGCCCAGACTTAGACAGTGATGGGCACATCATATTACATAAATACTTATTTAATCAATCAATCATGATGAACCAAACTCTAAATGAGTGAACCCTAAGTCTGTGTAATTATCAGCTATCAAAAAGAATATGTCCATTGTATGTTTCATCATGAAAGATCTAACAGACTGATGGAGACAAGAGAAAGAGAAATGCAATAAAGGTAAAGATATCAAAAATTTGCAAGTTTAATATGGCAAAGTAATATCTGAGCAGGGACATGATTGAACCTATAAAGTCTATATGGTACATTGAATGAAAACATATGGTTTCTTCAAATCCTGGAAGACCACCCTAAGGGAGTTATTTAAAAAGTAACAGGAAAGTTAAATGTCTGTCCAGTGTCCCCCTCAATTAGTTATTTTATATACAACCAAGGTTACAAGGCCCCCTTTTTCATATAAAATATAAAATACAGTCTCAGTTCCCCAGGGCAATAATAATTTGGGACTTGGGCTGGCCCAGCTATGACAATCTGATGAGAGTCAAATCCTTGAAGCAGGAGGCATAAATGACCTTGATTATTGAGCTTCTTAGGAAATTAAATTGGATGCTGAGAATGTTGATAAAGGGTTTAATACTGGTCTTCACTTTGACAAGCATACCACAGATGTCCCATTGACAGGAGACCCCAAGTGCAAAGACAGTTTTAGTTTGGACTCATTATCTGGTAACAGGGGAGATCAACAACCATCCAACTACCTCCTGGGAGATAGAACTTATGGGGTAAGACCCTAGATAGCAGAGCAATTTACTCCTTCCAGGGCTTTTGTTGGGAAGGTTACTAAAGCCTCTGTCCCCCAGGCTCATGGTCCTCCTCTTCCTCTCCACCTGAGCAGTCAGACCTCAGCCGCTGGCTTCTACCTTTTATGAACATAACCGAGGAGAATGGCTCTGTCTCATGATAATTCATGATAATCTCATGATATCTTCTCATGATAAAGGTAAGAGGAAGTCTTTTGCTCCCTCCCTCTAGAGTCACAATGTAGCAGGCACTCACTGACACCAGGCTAAAAAAACAAGTAATAGTTTTACAAGTAAAGACTAGGATTTTAGAGCTCCTTCAGCCCACGGCTTACAGTGTTTCTCTGAATTCCCTTGGAAGCCCTGTTCTTCTGATTAAAACGGTAATAACTAATCTTAGCCTAAAAAATATTGAAGAGATGGCTAATGTAAATTTGGGTAAGGCTTAAGGATTAATAAAAACCCTTTTCCTATAAGGTACTTCATTTCATCCTCTGCTATGAAGCAGGTATTATTATGATCCCTTTTAATAGATTCAAAGAAAGGAAAGAAAAATTAACATTTATTATGCAACTTAATAGGTTTCACACATCAAACCAAGTGTTCTAAATACTTTATCCCGTTTAATTTCATCACAGCTCCATTAGGTGAAGATTATTATTTACATCTTCTAAATGTGAGGAAACAGAAATTAATGTGAGTTAATCTGCCCTGGTGACATTGCTGTTAATAATAGATTGAGATTCTACCTCTGTCTGGTATTGCCAAATCCACTAACCCCCTTGTTTTACACAATGCTAACTCAAGAATTCGAGAGCCATCCAGTCTAGACTCCTTGTCTTTCCAGAATGCACATGGACAAGGTCTCCCACGACACTCTGGCCACGTGGGGCTGGCCTGGCTGGAGACGTAAGAAGGAAGTTGCAGATACGATGTGGAATGTGATTTGGAGACACTGAGACGGGTGTGGATTCATGAACAGATGTCAGCCTAGGCAGATTCCTGGGGATGACGCTGAAGTGCTCTTACCTTGCCTCTGTCTTATGCAACATGTGTAGTAACAACTTGGAATAACAAGGTGATGATATGTGGATATAAGTTTCACTCTCTTCGAACCATGAAATCCACTATGTCATCTGTCCAGGATATGGACACCATTACTCTGCCCACCTCTCTTCTCCTAGCTAATGCCAATTTTTCAGATCTTAGCTTAAATATGACTTCCTCTAGGAAGCCGTTTCAGAATCCCCTAATCACAAACTGTGCCAGAACCAGAAGGTGTATAATCTTATAACACACTTCTTCTTTATAGCACTTAATCATAGTTTTATTTACATAAATATGATGGCATACATATAAAAGATATGTAATATATTATAAATCATAAATACAAATATAAATACACCAGATTCTTTAACAGCTTCTCTCTTTAGGATATACAACTACTTGGCACAACTGTGTTGTTTTGATCACCATTGTATGTGCTGGGGCTTAGCACTTAATCAATACAAAATAAAGGTGAGGTATTGCAGAAAGGATAGTTAAGATGTAGAGCCACAAATTGAAGATTTTTTAAAATGTCAATCTCAACAAACTAGAGCAATGAACCAATGCTAAAAGAATGATGATGTAAGCAACTGATAAATTTTCGAACACTGTATCTGAAATTAATGATGTACTAAATGTTGGCTAACTGAATTTAAATGTAAAAAAAAGGAAGATGAGCATGTTCTGCTTCTCTGAAAATGAAAGAAAAATGTTTAGACTTTTAGCATCCAAGTCTGAGGACACTATCAAAACAATCAAACACAACAAGTGGATTAATCTAATTTTGATTAGACTGAAGAAATAGACAGCCAAAGGATAGATAGGTGATACCCAGATCTTTTTAAACTTGACCATCCCTGTGATCTGCCCCATGCAGTACACTTCTAAGTAAGTTATTTAAAATGAGAGCACTTCCAGGGTTAAAATTGTAAGACATATCAAAACCATGTCATTTGAGGAATACCAAAAGGAGACTGGGAAGACAATTTAGGGCTACATGATAAGAGTTCTTAGTTCCTGAAGTGTTTCATGGAGAAATGGCCCAATGGTAGAGAAAAGAATGAAACGTAGAAGTTACAGAGGCAGGCTTCAGCCATTACAAGAAAAATCTTTTAGGGAATGATACCATCCAACAACGAAGCAAGCAAGTCAGGAGGTAATGACATTCCCTAGGCTTTGAAGGTGACCTGATGTTCAGATATCGTATGGAAGATTCAAGTATCTGACAGAGGACTAAACTAGGCAATTTCTGAGGTCCTCTCCAGCACTAAGTATTCATGACCTATAGATAACTCTATTATAAATATTTTATTATAGATCCTGGAGAGCACATTAAAATGACAGAAGTATGGTTATCATAAAACTCTCCAAAGTCATCATTAGTACACAGATTCTACAGCCCTCTATCAGACATAAGTGGAAAACTCTCCCTAGATGTGTTTGTTGTAGGCTTCTACATGTTATGTTCCTGAGTGGCAGGATTTTTTCCACAATGCAGCCCTAATGTTGGTTACCAAGTTTTCCGTGAGGGTTCTTAAATAAGAACTCTTATCATTTTAAAAGTGAAAGAGAAAATGACAAAAAGTGTAATGACATGCTTTTCATAGTATATTTATCCATGCAACGTATATTTATTGCATGTCTACAATGCATACATTAGGCTTGGTGATATGGGAGATGAAAATGTAACTAAAGGTAGATGGCTGCCCTTGAACTTACGAAAAATAATGATCATAGGGGAAGGGAGGGGAAAATGAATGGGAAGAAATCAGAGAGGGAGACAAAACATGAGAGACTCTTGACTCTGGGAAACAAACTGAGGGTTGTGGAAGGGGAGGTGGGTGGGGCATGGGGTAACAGGGTGATGGGCATTAAGGAGAGCACGTGATGTGATGAGCACTAGGTGTTATACACAACTGATGAATCAATGAACACTATATCAGAAACTAATGATGTACTGTATGTTGGCTAATTGAACTTAAATTAAAAAGATAATAATGATCTGTTATTAGGCTGCTCTTGCTATGGACTATGCATTGTAGTAGATATTTTACATAATGATCTCTTTTAATCCAAACAACTACCCTCAGAACTAAGTATAATTATTATCCCCATTTCTCAAATAAAGAAACTAGAAATTATATATTGCCTAGCATCACAGAGCCAAGACTTGGGATAATGCAAACCACATCATTTAATTTCAAAACTGATCTCTCACACACTGATGCACTGCCCCTACTCCTCATGTTTTAATAAAATGTTGAATATGACAGATGACATTAGAAATCATTCGGAGCATGACTGAAGTTCAGAAGAGGAACAGAATGAATAAGCGTTCATGCCCTAGGTGCTCTGAATGTTTGTGACAGTCTAATTACATTTCTCCCTATGTTTGTGACACAGAGCTGGGTCTATGTGGATGATTTGTCTTGGAGTGGTGCTTCTGGATTAAGATTTTTCTTTAAAGCTCATGAATTGTGGATCACTACATCAAAAACTAATGATGTATTGTATGGTGACTAACATAACATAATAAAATAAAATTTAAAAAAATAAAGCTCATCATAAATAATGTTGAAATTGGGCAAATTGAAACAAGATTACATGTCCCCTCTTTTCCTTCTTGAATATGAGTTGATCTTAGGAAAACAGTGGAATGGATACCCTTTGAGAGTTATGTCTGTTCATCCCAAGGTTTTCAAGGAAGCAAGAAATCCAAGAAGCTGGATTTCCCTTTAGCTCCTTAGAAGAGAAGAAAAATAGATGGAGACTGACTGTCTTTCCTATTCATCCCTAAACTCAAGGGAAGGATTCTTAGATCTCCCACAGCTTATGATCACATATTTCCCCATACCACCACAAGCCAGGAGGAGCCCTATGATAAAACTTTGTTTCCTTCAAGTCCTGCCCTTCTCCTGACTAGATATGGATAGAGAAACCAGGAGACGGAGGGCTTTGTTTTCTGAGGCTCATCCCTGATACTATTGATCTCAGACCAAGTAAGCTCTTTGTCCATGGGCATTGTTTTCTTTCTTCATTTTCCATCATATGACTAGCTTTTCAGTGTTACATCCATATATATGTGAGTCAATACCTCAGGAGGCATTGTGTGCAAATAAATGTATGAATGAATGAGTGAATGAATGAATAGCTTCCCGCTCTCACCTTAATGATCCCTGCTTTTAAGAATTCCTTGACACTTCTTGTGAATTTACTGAAAGAATTAACTTTCATTCCACTTCCACTAAAAATCATTTTGAAGGCCATAAACTTCCTCTGCCTCTTTTTCTCAAAAAATTCTTACACAATTTAGCCAGCTCTTAGCACTTAGAAATTAAGTTGTAGATACTTATATGAAGAGACTTGATTAAAGAGGAGGAAAAGAGAGAATTAGTTCTAATAATTCTAAGTTTCTAACTCCAGACCTGATTAGATTAGATCATGGCTCAGAGTGTGAACTAATATGTCATTGGTCCAATTTTTCCTCCTGTCTTTGTAACTCTCAGCAGAGAAACTCTGTTAGCTCAATGATCTGGGGAAATCGTTCACTGGCCTATCCCTCCCAACCAGAGCTCCGTGTCTTATCCTTCCTTGGAGTCAGCCTAGTTTATACCTTGATTATCAGTGGGAATGTCCTAATTATAGTGGCCATCCAGACAGAAGCCCGCCTACACACATCCATGTACTATTTCTTGGGCAGCCTCTCAGGAGTGGAAATATGCTACACTGCTGTGGTGGTGCCCCACATCCTGGCCAACATCCTACAGTCAGAGAAGACCATCACCCTCCTGGGCTGTGCCACTCAGATGATCTTCTTCATCGGGCTTGGCAGTGCTGATTGCTTCCTCTTGGCCTCCATGGCCTATGACCGGTATGTTGCCATCTGCCACCCCTTGCAGTAGCCTCTCACCATGACTTTAACTCTCTGTGTCCGCTTAGTCGTGGCCTCTGTGGTCATCGGCTTGTTCTTGTCCATACAACTGGTGGCCTTCATCTTCTCTCTGCCATTCTGCTGGGCTCAGAGTATCGAGCACTTCTTTTGTGATGTGCCGCCCGTGATGCATCTTGTTTGTGCCAACAGCCACATCCATGAGCAGTCAGTGCTTGTGGCAGCCACACTGGCCATTGCCATGCCTTTCTTCTTCATTGCCACCTCCTATGTCTTCATCGTTGCTGCCGTGCTCAAGATCCACTCCGCAGCGGGGCGTCACCAGGCCTTCTCCACCTGCTCCTCCCACCTTTCTGTGGTCCTGCTGCAGTATGGCTGTTGCGCCTTCACGTACCTGCACCCCAACTCCAGCTACTACCCTAAGCAAGATCAGTTCATCTCCCTGGTGTACACATTGGGAACCCCAATGCTCAACCCACTTACCTACACCCTGAGGAACAGTGAAATGAAGGGGATTCTGGGGAGAGTTCTTACCAGGAATTGCCTCTCCCGTAACAAATAGGGGAGCACACAACCTTCAGGCAAGGATTTGATTCCAGCTCATGCAAAGCTCCATGCAACTGGGATTTCTCCCAGATAATGTTAAAAGTTATCTTTTAAAAATGGTATAAATTATCTGGATATCATTTTGCTATGTGTGCCAGAGACCTTTAAAATGCTTCTACTATTTCACTCAGTAATTCTCTTCTAGAAAGGAAATTAACAAATGAGCATAACGATAGAAAGCGACAAGTGTAACACTGCATCTCTGGTATCAGCTGGAAAGAAATGGCTCATTCAATACATTTTGACTGAAAAAAATAATAAAAGGATTATATATAGAAGTATGAGTAAAGGAACCAATACAGGCAGCAACACCTTTCATCCTAGCAGTAGCAGGAAGCCATGATCATCCCTAGACCTCACAGACATAAGAGGGTACAGTATTATCAGAGACCTGTAAGATCTAGGTTTATCGAGAGAAAACACTTGGCAAGAACTGTGGGTTTAGGGGGAAAAAGCAACAGTTGACAGAACTATGGCCATGCAAGGAGAGAGCAGGAAGATAAATACCCCAACCTCTCTCCGCTTGTACCCTCCTAACCCTTGCCCTGTCTCCCATTGGCCAAACCCAACTGGAGGCAAGAGGGAAGTGTAGACTGAATGATTCAGTTCTCAGAAATTAGCCTTTTGGAGCAAGACAAGGCAGAAAAGGACATTGAGAGTTAGGGGCAAACAGAGCATAACCCGAAAAAGATTGTTTCTTATACAGTATTTTGTGTAGAAATGAAAATACGTTAACAATCCAATTTCCCCATAATAAAGTATGGGCTAAACAACTAATGTAAGAAAGAATATTGTTTATACCCTCTATCCCCTGATGCATGTCCTCCAACCAAGCTTTATTTTCTGGAAAGAGTAAAAGTAGATTCCATGCTCAATTACCTTACTGAATTCCTGTTTTCCTGGTAATATTTTATCTTGTCAGCTTTTTGGGGTTTTTAAGGGGATGATTTTTTTGTGTCTTTTTTAATATTCTCTATGTCATCTAGCATTTTAGGTAGTAATTGACTTCTCAGTAACAAGTACATTTATCAGTTATATTCTACAGTCAATAATCTCTAATTAGTTATATAATTAAAACAGTGGTTATCATGCAAGTTTACAGACAGGCAATGAAAAAGTTTTGTGGAAAAGCATAGGCCCTGGGTTTGCCTCTTTCTACTTGTGTGACAAGGAAAAAAATCACTTAAACCCTCTGTGCCTTGATTTCATTTTCAATCAAATGGAGATTATAATAAACCTATCATTTAAGGATCAAATGAATGAATACAGGTTTTATAATAAGCCCTATAAACATGATATCAACTATTATTGTCTTACTATTGCTACTATTATTTCTATCATTATTTGGGGTACACAGAGGTAAAATAAAGGAAAAGAATTGGAGAGAGGCGCCTGGGTGGCTCAGTCTTTAAGCGTCTGCCTTCGGCTCAGGTCATGATCCCAGGGTCCTGGGATCGAGCCCCGCATCGGGCTCC